TATTTAATTGGCACTACGACAACCAACGTTATTAAACATTCTCAATACCATACCAAAATTCGTAACTGCTTTTCGCATACATTTTGGATACATTTTATTTAGCAAATAACATTAAACGTTGCATTTACAACCAATGTGTGTGTGTGTGTGTATTCGGGGTATGCGGAATTTTCACTTTCGATTATACGATCTCTGGGCGAGTATCCAGTGTAAATGCCATAATTTAAAACGATTAAAAGTACATATTTATAATTATAAATGTACGATGTTGCGAACGTATTTCAATAAAAAATTGTGTTTTTCGATTAATCATCAACAAAGACAAATTACATCATGGCCCAACGATGGCTATAAATTGAGATTAAATAATATTCAAACAAAAAGATGGAATGTGACGCATTTAGTTTTTCTTAGAATTGGTTTTGCATGAAAACGGGCAATAAAAAGAGGCAAATCAACCCTAAAATCATCGAAAATTAACGTTCGCGCACACAAACACCGCTTACCGGCTGCAGATACGGGAAAAAAATAAAACCACTCCCCATTGTACACCATGATCACATCATAGGAAAAACTCATTAAATTCGTGTGTTCAATAAAAATGGTGTGTGTGTGTATGCGAGCGTTAAATGTTATGTCCAGCCATAATATTCGTTCACAATGGTATCGCATAAAAACGCAAATGGTATAATTTAAAAATTACTTTAATGAAAATCAACGACACGACTCAATAGAGAAATCGAGTTGAGGTGAGTGAAATGAGAGGAGAAAAGAAGAAAAAACAACAACAACAACCTCGATGGTTAACACTAAAATTACATGTACCAACCAAACAGAAAGTTTCAAAAGCTGAAGGTAGATTTTCTATAATAACAGTTTCGATTTTGAACTGGTGGCATAGCAGTTACCGTTTGTCGAATGAAATGATGATGATGGCTGGAACAAGAAGTGAAAACTGTTGAGCGAATCTATTCAGACCACGGTGTATAAATGCATCGCAACGAAATACAGACAACGAAAAATTGGCAATGAAAACCAATCAAATTGAGATGTATTCCGGGCCATAAAAAGAATTTCAATCCTCTTGCAATGTGAGCACAAGCAGAGAAAATGCACCAGAACCATAGACTGAGAGCAAAAAAAAAATACGCCACGAACAAGAAAGAACCTACGAAACTTTGAGCATTCATGAACGAAATTCAAGCAATGGAATACAACAGTAAAAGAACGAAAGAGAAGAGAAAAAAAACACGAAAAAGATAGAAATTTATATTAATAATAATAATAATAGTTTGTGATAAAAAAAATACGCCAGAGTAAAATCAATTTAAATTTTTATTAATGGAGGGTATGGAAATACTTTTCAGCAGTTAACGTTATGTTTTACCTCACTTGAGGTTCAGTATCGCGCCCGCACTCACTATTCGATCCAACAGCGTGCATATAGAAATACATCGAACGCATCACACACTACTTTGATCCAACTGCAACTTTGCTCAAAGCCAATTATTGTATATAGATACACACTATGGTGGATAGTTCTTCTTTTTTTTTCATTGTTTTTTTTTTCGTGTAAAAACATGTGTAAAACTTAATGTAAGCAGCGCAGAGCAAAAAAAGAAAAGTAACGACAATGATGAGAGCGAGAGCGAGAAGGAAAAGCATAACAATGATAATAAAAATGGGCACATAAGATGAACAAAACGTTCTGTCGAACGATTTGCGGTTTATGTACGTGTGGGTTTGTGCAATACGATACACGAAAGACATTGGGAAAAACGAAAAACAGAAGCACACCGGAAGACCGATTCAATGAGCAACATGCAGAAAGAACGGAGAGAAGAAGAAGAAGAAGAAAAAAAACCGTCGACACACCGCATTTTTCGTACAAACCAAATAATCGAAAAAGAAACCCCGAACTCATCGAAAACTTATACGCATTGAATGAAAATTGATAGACGGAGAGAGCGAATAAAACCGATAAAATGCATACCCGAATACCGTGCACACTGGATACCCGAACGAGAAATGCAAAATGCGAAATTTCCTCGTGCCAGAAGTAAGCGGCAACATTTCAAATATGCAGCTAAATGACAAAGTAATCAAAAGAAACATGGTGGTTGTGGATAACAGCCAAACGATATCAGCATAGGACACACCGGTTAGAGAGACGGACAAGAACAAATGTCATAAAAATATCGCCAAGAATGAAAACGTGGTAAAGCCGAGCCGCATCAAATGTGGTGAACGGAGAGGAAGCACATTTTTGTGGTGATGCAATCGCCCGAACTTAACTCGTGTATGTGCACAATGTTGGTGGGTACGCGTCATCTTACTGAACCATAAGTAATTGAACAAAGATTGCCATATAAAAAATGACCACACTTATTGGCCGTGCATAAATACACCTTGGAGATTTGAATATTTCTTTTTTTTCTCTTTATACGATTGGATGCATGTTCATAGATCCAAATTGAACAGGCCAAACTCGAAGTCAAACACCATAAACTGACTCACCGGTAACGCATGGCCATTTATTATGCAATCCAAATGAAATCCAGCATATTCGTACTAACGACACTCATACATGGCCATGGATCACATATTGAAACCGATGTAATCGCTTGCGTTTTTTTTTTTGAATGAAGAATGAAAGGGATTCGAATTCAAACACCAAAGTTTATTCGGCATGCTTGCATTTATTCGAATGCTTCTCCTTCTTATTATTATTGCTGTTGTTCTTTTTTGCTGTGGGTATGTTCATTTTTAACATTTTATGATTTCATTCGAATGAGTCATACATGTGGTTGCATCTCAGTGGAAATGAGTCTATGTGGAAAATTCACATTTGATGGTCTAGTGACCAATTGATGTTCTTACGTATGCTCCCCATTCAATTGAATCTCAACCCGATATGTGATTTGCTTTTTTTACGTTATATGGTCTATGTACGATTATAAATTGTCGAATTTTTGCGAAAAATTCTTAAGTTCGTAATAGATACACGAAATTGATTAAAAATTAATCAGTTTTTCATGTATATTGTGTACATTAGGGTGTTTCCGATGTTTGTAAATGAGAAAATGCTATTTTTGAATTCAAAGAACACAGAATTCTATATTATTTAATGGCATTCATATAACAAAGCGATTGACAATGGCACTTCCCGAAGCGAAAAAGAAATATGAAACGCATGAAGTTTGAAGTTTTTTTTCTTTGTCGCTTGCACATATATAGACTCTATTCGATTGCTTTGATAACTTATTGTTGCGATTCCTTTGAATTCGATAAATAAACAAAATAAAGTATTTATGTTAAACGCATTTTCACAATCGTACAACAAAACTCTGTGTAAGCAATTTTTGGCCAGTGAAGTCGGTATATGATTTGAATCAACATTAACACACAAGCAGTCCATACAACACATTAACACAAAGCAGTCCATACAGATTTGAGTATATCCATCGCGACAGGCTAATAATCATGCCGTTTCGTTTGCTTGTTAGTGTTTACACATACACAAACTGTGAGTCCGTTCATTAGTTCAGCACACACAATTTCCTTATTCAAACGGTTTATAAACAAAAAATGTGTGTGTATAGGAATATTTTTTACATCGGAATGCAGTGTGAGTTGTGTGTTAGTCGAATGATCTGTCACATTTTAAACGTGGTGAAACTTTTAAGAATCATTGTTTTTTTTTATTTGAATTTGCATTCCTTGCATAATTTCTATGCATTCGATTGTTAAAGTGCTAAAACATATAATTTGAATGTGTCGGCGTATTTTGTATTTGTTTTATGCTTTCGAAGGAGTTAATTTCACTCTGTTGATGGTTTTTTTATGAATACAACAGATTCAACATTCGGATCATTGTCAATCGATAACTTGCAAGAGAGATATTTTCAGTGAAACTTGTGTTCGATTTTGTTTTGTTTTGATATCAACAAAACGTTCTCAAGCTGAAACTGCAAATATTTCGATACAACTTTGGACTGTGTTAGTGTGATGTGCGTTCGAGAGAGTTCTTTTTCGATTTTGAATATCACTTCAGTCGTGTCCATCAATCAGGTAAGATCAAGTGTTAATTCTATCTCCGTTTTATGTGCTTTCTATTGATTCATTTACAAATTGCACAGTGCAAAATACATATGTGTGATTTTATCAGTGTTTTTATAGTAAATTGTGCGTGTTTTTTTTTCTATTTCGTTGCAGTTCAACATGTCGACAACTGGTGAAACATCGGCTGCACAGGCGAAAAAGAAACGATATAAATATCAAACAAAAAAGCAACAAGAGGAGGAGGCCGAGGACGAAAACTTCAATGACAATGGCTTATTAGCGATAAAAATGCGCCTCACAACAATTGTTCGGCCGGAGTACCATGATGTTGTCATACATTGGATCGAAAAGAAAAGTGTCATGTCAACAAAGATCAGCGTTTTGGCGTCATTGTTGTTCCTTGACAAAGTGAAGTCCGCGCAAAACAATCGCCAATGGGACTTTTTCACGAATAGAATGTATGTTAACCAAAAAGGAAAATTGGTTGAAAAAAATCGTGCCGAAGATGTGATTGAGCGCTGCTTTTATGCAGTTTTGCAAAAGAACAAAGAAAACGAGGACATGGAACCACACATTCGTCATTTTGTTGAGCAAGGACTGAGCCGAGACAATCAATTTGCCTGGCCAAACAACAATTATTTCGGCAACATCATGAAATCGTTATGCCAAAGTTATACGCGCCAATTGAAAACGAATCAAACGACACATGCAAAGAAGCGGCTGCGAAATTATTTGCAAATGAGAGCTTGGCAGTTTAATGCAGTGTCAACCGGTTTGAGGTTCGATAAAAAGGATGTTGACAATGCAATTGATTGGGCGATTCGACGCTATGATGCCATTCGAGACACACATCAGAATGCACCTCTTAAACGATACAAAAGAAAGTTGCTGCTTGACATGGTTCGTGCAATTGTGGAAAAGGTTGGTGGACTAGCGAATTATGACAACATCAAGCAGTTCTCAAAAGGCAAATACTGGTTCAAAGCAACTGCAATGTGGCTTGTCATGCAAAGCGAAATAGATGAGTTTCACAATTGGGCGCAAGACAACAACGTCACAATACCGAAGATCAAAAATCTGTCTGTTGTTCCATTGCCAGATTATCAGCGAAAGGCAGTGTTCATGTGCAATGATGTTTTCTACAGAATGTTGGCAGAAGAGAAACTCCTTCCAAAAGTCGAAGGTAAACAAGTTACCGAAACATTCATTCGCGAAAACAAAGAACACTTCTGGAGCCAAATATTCGATTTTGACAAAATCAATCGAATATTGAAGAAAAACAAAGAGTTTCATTATACTATTGTTAGCAACGGTGAATCAGTATCGGTATTGTATAAATTGTCAAAACAACATCTTCAACGGTTGCTGGATGATGACATTGTGAGAAAGCGATACTTGGATGGAACGTTTGTTTATGAACTGGGAATCGATCCGGGTATGAAGACATGGAATGCGACTGTCCGAAGAACCATCAGTACTCGCAAAGAAGTAAGTATATATTTTTTTTTAAAGTCGATGAGTATTTTACATCACAGACATGCGCAAAATGTGGCGGACGATTCGATCCAAACACCAAAAGCAACCGTTTCAAAGTTTGTGAAAATTGTGCACCGGTGCCAAATTCAATCATGGCTAACTTTTTACCATCGAAAATCGTGGCACAGCTCAGCAAACGGCGTTTAAAGTATAACAAAGTTTATATTGAAGAGAGTTTGGCGGTATCTCTGGCTCGAGGTGAAATGACTGAGCATGATTTCGACATTATAGCTGATCGTTTACTGTCTAAGGTGGCCGTGTATCCAAAAAAATGGCAAGTAAACGCAGTGAGTGGTGTATTGGAATATGCTGACGTCAAAGTCGATCAACAACCACATGCAGTTGATGATGAAAATGCAGCGGAAATCGATGGAGAGGTCGCTCAACAACCGTGTGCAGTCGATGATGAGTGTGTGACGGAAATCGATGACAAGCAACAACCAATGATTGTGCATCAGACAACTTGGGATCGTGATATCGTGGCCGCCAAATGCATTCTCATCAAAGGCATGTATATAAGAAATGGACATTTGCATATTATAGATGTGTTATGTCTGTGTTAAATGACATTTGTATTTTTTTATAGGACATTGTAACCTGTTTGGACTGGATATCCCGCTAACATTGCAGAGACCACGTCGACAACAAGCAGTTCAAAATAATCAACAGCCTTAAGCATAACCAATCACCATTTTAACTCGAAAATTAATTAAAAATTAATATTGTAATTTTGTTACACTAACTGAGACTTGACTGTTGTGTCTCAGCATTTCGAGGAAGTACTATCAAGGCTCTGTTTTTCTGTGAGTATTTTTCATTATTCGATTGCATTTATATATTCAGACGTGACAATTGTTTTTCGCTTCGGGAAGTGCTACCATCAATCGCTTCGTTGTATAAATGCCATTAACTACCATAGAATTTTGCCTACTTTGAATTAATAAATACCATTTTTCTATTTACAGATATGGGAAACACCCTAGTGTAGATAAAATTCAGAAGTGCGTATACAAAATGAATCAATTTATTAGTATGTTATCGTGTTTCACATTCAAAATAAGAATAAATTCGATTTGCACAAAAGGAATCAGTTTATTAAATATTCATAAATCATTGTGTGTTGAATGTGATGTGTTTAATCTTTAATGTAAACAAATAAACCGACTTTCACTCTTTATCTGTATATGTAACATTGTCATTGCCATTGTTTTTTGACTGCTTTTTTATCTCTCTCAATGTAATCGGGTAATCGCCCTTTGCTCCCAAAATAAAATGTGTGAATGCACTTTTGTGAATATATCGGAAAACTGTTTTGCCACTCTTTACATTCCTTTTTTTTTATAGTCGCGTTTGCCTATTTTGGCGGGGTTCGTGGTTTTTATTTCCAACGAAAGATGAGCGGAGGGAGAAAGAATGAGTGTAAGCAATCATTTTCATTTGGCAGGAGGAAAATGCATAGGAGATTAAACAACAACAGTCTCTCACGTTCATACGTCGTCCACATACCACGTAACAAAACCAGCGTATTATTTATCATTTGACGGTGATGTTTAATTTTATTAGTACGACACAATGAATATTTAATCGGATCTAAAGTCGAAGTGTACACAACCACACATTGTCAAATTCTCGTCGTTCGTTCGTTCGTTGTTGTTGTTGTTGATTTTTTTGTCACTGATGCTTCAGTGTTTATGGCTTACATTACCCCAATACATCTTCTCTATTACAGTTTACATTGTGGTAAATTTATCCACCATTAAGAAGCATACAAAATGCGTTGTATTGAACAAACGAAACATCTACAGCTGAGAAAAACGAGAACGCGATATACCAGGAGAAAAACAAAGCACAACTTATGCATCTTCACAATCGATCACACATCAAATTTCCCATCTCTTTCACTTTTCATTTTTTTTGCCAATGTTTGCATACATTCCGCTTTATTTATTTGCTGTCGGCCATTTTTCTCTCTCGCTCTCTCTATTTCTCTTCTTATCATACAGTATGATATAGATTTGCTTTCGAATCGAATATATTACGCTGTACATTTATTTATTGCCGACGTTGTAATTCTGTGATACTTTCGTCTTTTGTGAGTCCTTCCGAATATCGTATCGTATTGTTTCATTATTAAAAAAAATTGTTGCTCCTAAAATGATGCCTTGTTAACCGAAGGCAAACATTGAAACACACAAAGAGAGATGAGCACACAAACCAAAAAAAAATAATAATATCAATGTCGAGGGGTTCGATATATGTATAACTTATTGATAATGCGAATATGGTTTTTGTCACAACTTTTGCTGCGCTATGCATGTTTTTGTCTATCCTCGCGACCCCTTATATTATATTCCATTATTAGGGGGGCTTGATTCTTAAGCTCTTTTTTTATTTATTGATTGCTTTTGGTGAGTTTGAAGCTCTTTAAAAGACGAATATTCAAATCATTAGAAAAAAACTGGTCATTTGTCGTAATTGCCAACATAATTTTGCTACAAATTCTTGATAAAATTTTCAAACATTTATAAAGATTGACATTCTTTGGATTGCATTTTGTCTAGAAGGCATACACACTCTTCAAAATGAACACATTGGATGAGATGATTAATAGTGAGTAATCATTTTTTTGATATTTAAATTCATTTTTTTTCATCGATAAAATCACAGAAAATCTGCACTGCTTGCTTTTTTCAACCTTATGTCAACTGTTTTCAACTTTATGTCAAAATCGTTGAACTCTAGCAATTCAGACTTTTGTTTATTTCTATTCTTATTTTATCTAAACAATTGTGTCTAGTTAGAAAAGAATTTCGCATGGTATTCACGTGTTTGCTGTTAGTTTTGATGAACGTTTTCATTTTCATGATTGTCTACAATGCTAATAAACAAAGTAATGACTGAACCCAGGTTCGTTTGTATAATAAAAATAAAAAAGAACACAAAAGACCAAATGAAAATGCTGAGCATCAAACACGTCGAACACGTTTATACAATTTCGTTAATCCTTATTAACTGCAGTTTTTATTTAAATTTGATTGTCCGACTTTATCATGCTGCTTTTGCTTTGTTCCTTCCATCATGTTTATTTAATCCATTGAATTTTAGTGACTAAGTGTCGTCTTGTCTGTCTGCCGATGTAATTGCATATATCATATGCATCACATCCGTACGCATTCACGCACATGTTAAATGAATATAACCGAGTAAGAAGCTTCTTAAACACTAACCATTTCAAATGAATATATATGGCCTTTTAATCGATTTCAAATATATTCATTGGTTCGCCCACATTTTTTGTTACTATCTCAAGAGATAACAGAATAAAAATCGACCCAACAAAAAATTCGAATTTTATGATAATTGTTCCATATTGAACAAATCTATTAATTTGATTCCGTTTAATGCCCGATTTTTGGATGAATGAGAAAAAAACGCATAAAAAAAATTCGGTTATAAAATCAGTTGGGCGTATTGAAAACAAGTAATCCGTCTTTGGGTTGTTAACACGATGCGACGAAAATACATATATACATGATAATACAAAACGAACAGAAAAAAAAACAAGACTCGACACCGTAAATTTGTTTGTTTTTGTGAAGCTTTCTTCGTTCAAAACGTGTGCGCCCAACGATCTTAAAAGAACCATACCAAATTCCAAAACAATAACAATAACATGGATTCGAGCACATCGAATGAGTGAAAGAGAGACAGAAATTTATGTATGTAAAAAAAATAAAAAAACTACATACTTATGTCGCTTGCACACGACTGAAACGTAATATTACATGAAAAAAGTACACCATAATTCAATGCAAATATTTACGGATATACATTTTTTCCATTAACTAATGAATTTTCAAATCGTTTTGTATCGTTGTCGTCGAAGTGGTCGTCGTCGTTATTGTCGCCGTTGACATTGCGTCTTTATCGTGGTTGTTATATTGGTGGCGATGACGGCAAACCATGCGTTTACTTATCGAATACAATATCAACTGAGAAATCGAGTAAAAAGAGCATTCAAGAATCAAACACTAGACAAATTGCACGAAATCATACAAAGATATAAAGAGAATGACAACGATACACAAACACTATGGATGAATGGTTCACTATGGGGCGTGCGCGCGTACACACTCTCACATACGTGCTTCGCGAAAACATATCGTCCGGAAGAACATTAACTAAATCGAGTCGAAATTGTGTGACGACAAAAAGAAGAATGAAAAACCGTCTCGAATTCGATACTGAATTTATTCGGATGATTTGGAAATGTACAATTCTAGCTAAACAGATTCCCGCGCGATTTGCCACTTTTTCTGGCGACCCGTTGTTGTTAGAATTTACTATGTATTTTTTTTCTTTCTTACAAGTGATAAAGTTAATTTATTTAAATGTAATGCTCTTCGACTCGACTGATAGTGTGCGGTTGGAGTATTTTCATCTTCTCTGTATTATTATTGTTGGACATTGTCTGCTAAACTAAAACATACGAGACCTCTGATCTGTGAATGCTGTAACTGAATGTCCTTTTCCTTTATGCCGCCTCAAATTCATCTTAAGTTATTCAAAGAACGAACGAACCACGTCTCCGATTCCAATACATAATTTCAAACGCAAATAAAATATGGCATTTCGTTTTGGTTTTTCTTTCTCTCTCTCTCTCTCTCTCTCTCTCTCTCTCTCCCTCTCACCCTTCTATTCTTTCTTTTTCTCGCTCGTTAACATCACGCATAATTTGCAGCTCATTGCAAATAAACAAAACGCAATCGAAATAAAAACAATGCCTTTTGTCTACTACATTTCAAATTTACGTTTATTTTGTGCAATCGTTTTGCTGCAATGCTGTCTTTGGCCAATCGAATGGCCATTAAATGAAATGTTCCCTTACACGAGAATACCAACGTATCAAAGAAAAAGCACCGTTTATACAAAGTGAGAGAGAGAACTAAAACGATTGGTGTCGATGACACAAATGATCGCCTCCTTTGTGTAGCACAATGGCTATACACTCTCGATCATACTATGCTCGAAACTTTACTGTAGTGAATTGTATTTTCATTTGAGCATATATAACATTGATTTCGATTTATTGGTTTTAATTTATTTGCTATCCGTTCATTTCATTTCTCGAATTTTTTTTATGAACTTTTTCGATATAGTTTTGTGTGCGTGAGCATGTACGCGAACATTGACTAATTGGAACTGCATTTAACTGAGAGAATGCGTATGCGTTGTTTAATTTGAAATGTTTACGAATCTATATAAATTAGCAGAATGTTTACTTTTATTTTTATCGTTTATTTCCCACATTTTTCGGTCTCAATCGGTTGGATTAACTTGTGTGCGGTCGTTTGGTGTTGAATGATTCCATAGTAGAATGCTCGACAATGAGAATGAGATGGAATAATCTAACGCTTTGCTACTTGCGCTCATACAGACAGATACGGTAAGTGAAGTACACTGTGTATAATTAACATTCTAGCGAGTAATATTCATCAGTGCGCGTCCTTAAAACACAATATCTGCATTGAATAGTCCATGTTTATTTATCATTAGGCGGCTGTTTTATGCCGCTTACGTTCAAATTTTAAAACAATCATTTCGAAACTGAAAGAAATTTCAATGTTCTTTTTTTGTTCCATTCTTTCTCTCTACAAAATTGATCGGATCATGGAAATGCAACAAAAGGGAAAAAACCCGACTTTGAATCTCTTTGAATTGACTCAACTCACACACATACACACACAGACTTGTATCACAAAAAGTAAATGAAAACTCCAACCAAAGGGAACAAGAGTAAACTGAAGCGCACAATATTGCTCAACAGAAAATGTGAAAAATTCAGAGTTTGCTTTTTTGTTACTGCTCTCTCTCTCTCTCTCTCTCTCTCTCTCGCTCTTTCTCAGCATATTCACCAAATATTTTTAATTAATACGTAGCAAAACACTGAATTATTTAACAAGATGAGATAATAATTTCCACAAGTTGCACTCTAGAGTATATTGACAACGTTTTTGCAGACGATTCGCCAGTGGTGATGGTGATCAAACACTACACTGCAAAATAATGAAGAAAAAACAAAGCGAATCAAACCACAAAAGACAAATAGAATTTCAAACCGTCCAATGAAGATGAATGTTGGAAGTGAAAATACCACATAACACCGAATTGAAATGAGCTGAAAATAGCATCGCACGCATGAATATTTTCTATACATGTACATACGTTCAGCATCGAATCGGGTGCACAGTGCGCAAAATAATGTTTAAATATTTAAATAAAACATTTTTCTAGTGTATGGAACTGTGAATTTTTAATCACAACCACCATTTAATCAATTTCAGATTCACGGTTTTGCCCTGTTTATGAGGCCATTCACCACCACCACCAGCCAACCAAGATGCTTTCGGGTCTCAAACACCGAATTTACTTTTGATGAGTGCTCTTTTCCGGCTTTTTTCATTCATTCATTCTCTCTTCCGCGCGCGCGCTCTTTTTTTTCTCTCTCATTTTATCTGTATTATGTCAAGCCCAAAATTCAAAAGAGAATGCATAGGATGTTCAAAACGCACACAACATGAACTGATGATGATGGAGCTGAATGAAGGGTGTAAAACAAAGCAAATTCTATTTTCAACAAATTGACTTTATGATGATTACATTGTTTCCGTTGTTGAAAATGTATGGTTTACATTTCCTTACATATCGTAGCCAACCATTTTTCTATGTATTTTTTTTCCAGTTACACAATATTCTGCTATAGTCTACAGTCAATATAGATGTCTTCGTTCCATCAGTGCAAATAAAGGAATAATAGACCAACCAGATAGTTAGAGAGAGACAGAGAAAGTTTGGAGCATATAGTTTAAAAAAAATGACTTTAGAATGATTGCATATGGGATGTGTCGTTTGATATTATTAGTGCACCTTTATGAGTGTACATGCATACTAGACGTAATCTAAGATTTAAGCAAAAAAAGCGATGTTTTTTTTTTTCAAAAAGATGTTTACAAAAGTTGATAGGGATATTTTTTTAAATGAATACATCAATTTCTGTTGTTGTGATTTTTGCCATTGTAACACCTTCTCCATCTATCTTTTTTTTATCTCGATTGACTTCGTGCTAAGCAAATATTTAATAATATGTCATATAACTGACCGTTCATAATGCATAATAAATGTCCAATTAAACTCTTTCATTGGCATGGATTCGCGAAATGAAGTAATCATATCGTTCAAATTCAATGTGTAAACATTGTAATTCAATTCAATATCTCTGCTATCTGGCTCTTCATAAAATTCTTGATAAAAAAAAATTCGTTGTTGTTCGCGTTCGATGTGCTTTGAAATCATATAGAATTGAGTGGTTTTAATCGATTTTTATCACCTCTTCACTTTGTCATTTATATTGACTTTAGTTGATTCAATTTGACTACCAATTAGAAATTGATTTATGTCATTAAATGATCATCAATAATAATGAATAGTTTGTTTTTATTTATGTATTATTGTTTAACTCGATGAATTTGTTTACGGAATGTGAAAAGTTTGAAGTAATCGAACATTGTCAAGCAAAATTTGAACTCTTCATTTTTTTCTACTTGAAATTGTTGTTTATTATCTGAACCAAAAAAAAAATGGACGTCATAACATACATACATAACAAAAAATGCGTTAAAAACAAAAACAAATAAAATATGTTTTTTTTTATCTTGCATCATATAGAAAGCAGAATTTGATTGCTTTTCGGTTTTCGTCAAATATTTACTTTAATTCCATTGAAGGAATTCCGTATTCTCGTTGCCCCATAAAGGTATTAAAATTTAACATCGATTGCCGAAAATGCACATACGGTCCGAAAATCCATAATTCGTTCTCTCAAATCGTTCATTTTTCGGTTCGATCGATTGAAAACACACAAACACACATACAATTCGTGTAGTGATCTATACTCACAGGCAATAACAATAATAATAATGACAAATACAATAAGTAAATAAAATCTACGGATATTTTAGCCGTATCAATGGTTCTTTTTTTTTTCAGATGGAGATCAAACATATTATAATAGGTTTAATAGTTATAATAGCATTGTTAAATAATGGAAGAAAAATAAAACAGAACACGGGCTATGGAGGGGAAAAAAAGAGAAAATTCAGCTCAATGTCATATACACAACCATAAAACTATTTATTCACTGCATTTTGATGGGTGTTTCGAATGGTGTTCAGATCAAAATATAACGGGTAAAGTTGACAATCTGATTGAGCAAACAACACACAAACTGATATATAAAAAGAGATAGACAGAAGTAGCGAAAGAGGAAGCGAACACGAAAAAAAAGGGTTTAGATTTTCTTCAATGACACCATTTAATGGAATCAGGTTTTTATTGCATTTTAAATCGGATACATTCCGATAAAAACGAGCTACAGCATTCAAAAAAATACGAGATAAAAAAAATTCTTACAAAATATTCGTTATAAAACGCCCCATTCAAGTCGAAAAATTATCGATATTCGACCGGATACAAATCAAAGAATTGAATTTTTTTTCATTCAATTGTTTTAAAAAAACGAAACGAGAGAAATACGTTTTTTACACGACTATCCAATTGGATATCGCAATGGGGCTAATTGTATCGCATCCAAATACACAATAAAATTAATTAACTAATTGATAATTAAGTATAACTGACATTTGAACGCATTGTGTGCGCGTCCAATATAAAGTGTAAACAAAAGCAAATCAATTAAGATGCAAACCAAGACGAAAAATGAATGAAGAATGCTCAAAACAAAAGGAAAAGAAAGAAGAAAATGAAAAATAGCATCACAACTAATCGTAATAAATTTCCATTTGTACTTACCACCAACTGGCATATGCGAATCCCATACAAATCGTTATTAGCAAAGTGAATGTCATCAACGGTGGAACGTGATTATTTTTTTTCGAACCAATCATTGTAAATTATGTGTTGTATAATTTCTGTATGTCACAATTCTCTCCTCTCTTTTTTCTCTATCTCTCTCTCTCTCTCGCGTTCCAAATTGTTTTTTTTTTTGTGTGCGTGTGTGTGTTGATGTGATTGCCAAGAATCAACTGTTGATTTCCAATTTTTCTGTCTTTTATTTTGATTTGGTTTTCCGTTTTTATACTTTATCGTTTTCTTTCTTCACTCGGCGGCTGTCGCGTCCGTTCTTCTTCCTTTTTATATATCGTGGTTGTTATTTTTATTCTTGTTATTCAAAAAATAAAATAAAATAATAGACGTCTCAATAAGTGTTGGACATATGAAATGCAATCACGGGCAAACGTGAAAGATTTTGTACGTTTTGATTTCTACTTATGCATTTGGTGTTTCATTCTTTGTATGCGTATAGTTTTGTATGATCGAATGCACGTTGTTTAACTAATATTGTTTAATTTGTGGAAAAGTGCAGAAAATAACATATTCATCGATGAAAACATGAGATCATATGTGTGTGTGAGAGCGAAGGAGAGCGAAAAAAGCGTCTTAACTGAATGTTTTTTTTTTATTATGTGAATATATGATCGCATACACGAAAATATGTTGCAATTGCGTTCAAATATTCTCTTCCTTTGCACAGATTGTGTTATATGTTATTTGGTTGTCGTCACTTTGCACGTTTTGCGCGTCTATTTTCCGATTCCGAAAGTGTTAGGAATTTTATTTATTCCTTTTTGTGTTCCCTCTCTGTGTACTGTTTTTCCTTTTATTTATGCGTAAAATGCAGTTGTGACTGAATTTCGATATGGTTCTTTTGCTTTGTGGTCGTTGCTACCGGTTGCAATGTGTTCGTATCAACTATTAATATCAATATACACGCTGGAACAGAAAAAAAAATGTTTTGTACGTTAGTGTGTTTCGTTCGTGTGATCTTAAATAATCTCGATATTTATGTGGATAATTTATTGGTGTGATTGAAGAAGCATACGGAGACGGTAATTCTTCCTTTATTTGCTCTCCCTTTTGCATTTCACCAATTACTACGGATTCTTATTCGCTTTTTTTTACATAATGTTTGATTTGCCTTCGTTCTTGTTGTGGCAAGTAAGTTTTGTTTTAAACAAATGCTGAATTTACTTGGGAAAATCAGTGTATCGGTTATTGATCTGTATACAATATCAAAGACTATTAATAGTGTACTAATAATTTCTTAGCAATCGGTGATTTTTTATATTTAAAGCATACCGCGACCACAAACAATTACCAAGCACACCATTTTATTTATTTTTATTAAACATAATTGACGTTTCTTTTCCTCTAATTATATTATTTTTCTATTTGCGCCAGTGAAAATTTTCAGTATAATTTCTTCAGTTTGTTGCTTGCATCCAGAGGCTGTGGCAGAAAAAAAATATGACGGAAAGAAACGGTTTTTGCAGTCGATTAGCATCCATTTGATGCTAACGGATTGCAGCAGTTTATTTTTCTTTCTTTGTGCTTTTAGGCTAGACTCTGTGTAATGAAGATCCTAACAGCTTGAATCGGATGCTATTTAAGCCGTTGATATGTGTACACCAAATGCATCGTGCTTCAATGCAATGTTCCAAAAACTAAGTAGCGAATAAAATGTTCATCATGCAACAGATCAGAAGGAAATGTTGTTCCATCTCTTCTCTTTTTTTTTCTATTATTCAAGATCAAAAGAAGACAACAAAGTCATACAAGACTTTGCGTACTAAGTATAATCATTTAACAGCTGAACAAAGCAAACGATGTCTATTATATATCATTTCTGTTTTATATTTTTCATGCTACGCATTCGCTTAGTGTGCAACGGACGCGTAGCGTGACAACTGATGTTTGAGATTCATGGGCTGCCGTCACTGATGTGTGTGTTTTTTTGGTCTTATATTTTGCGCAATTAAATCATTGTGATTTCTAATGAAGTTTAATTGGACAAGAGATATTGGATGGATAATCATTGGTCATTGAAATAAATGAAGAAATTAAATGATCAGCACACGTGGATGCTGATCGGCTTATCAATCTATCCATCAATCTTTTTTTTTTGCAATTGATAGAGATGTCAATTTTTATGTTTCGATGCTGGCTTCGATGTGTGATTTGTGGTTCTCATTTATTTCTCTGCGGTACATTGTACAAAAAGTGCACTTTACAAAGAAAGTCTTTGTATAAATTACAGAAATAGAAATGCACAAAAATACATTTGAAAAAAAAAAAACACAGAAAAGAAATGAAGAGAGAGAGAGAGAAACAAAAAAATGGTTGTAGAGCGATTAGAGGCCGCCGCATGATTCAAACTCATCATTTCAGCATTCAATATGCATAAAATATATGAATCGATGTGCAAATGTTGTGGATGTGTTCTTAGGCCGTGTTCGTTTTGAACAGTCGAGTGACAAGCGCATACTCTCTTTCTTGCAAAATGAATGTAATGCACACGGAGACACACACACACAGTGATCAGTATGTGCTGAATTTTGTAATACAAAAGACTGCGTCGCGTTTGAACTCGCGACTCTCTTCTTTTTGAAGAAGTGGAAAAGAAGATCACAACATCTGGTTGAAATGTATAAATTACTTGAACATGAACGGTTTTGTGGCCACACCACAAAATGATCAATAAATATGCAAAAGTAAAAAACTTACTGTAAAAATACACGAGATAAATCAGTAGAATTAGAATGCACAGTGCAATGTATGAATTTATGTGTGTGTGTGTGTGTGTGTATGTATGTCTCAGTAAATTTTAATTTACATCGTGGCAGAAACAGAACAGCAACATTCTCATCAAATGCACAGCAAATCATCTGAACAAATCTGTGTTTTGTTCAATTCTATTCAGCTTTACTTCTTCTAAGAATAATAATCAAGCAATACATCACAGATGCCGGCCGTTCCGCACTAAACATTTTGTCAATAATAAAACAAAGCATCTCAATGAACACCAACAAAATCAGATGCAACAACAAACTTGACAAATTGTTATTTTTTCTTTTAAAAAAAAAGAACACTAATTTAAAATAAAATCGAAACGTATCCATTATCAATCTGAAAGATTGAAACTGAAATCTCATTTTATGACCAAAATCACGGAAAATCAACTTCCTTTCGTATCGTTTTCTCCGTTTTTTCTCATATTTACGTTATCCGGTAAGTGTCTTAATTGCCTGAAAACAATTTCAAGCGAAAACATCAAGATCTCCATGTTGCCCAGCACGAATACCAGTGAAGAAGCGTTTCACATTGGAAACATACTCACACACACACACACACACACACTTAAAAACGCAACACCATTTGAATATTCAGGCAGGAATTTTAATGGAAGAAACTCGAGATTAAATTGACGAGAGCGGCGAGATTTCGGAAAAGTGCAAAGATCACGTAGGTGATAGTCGACAAATTGATTTATGTATGTACATATTCATCGTGCTGATGTTGTTGTTGCCTTTAACATATATAAAAGTCAATTTATGGAAGATCGTTCGCTTAAAATTGACTGCACTGAATTTTATTTAAGTGGGACAATGGCGACTAATTGTTCTTTTTAAGCAATTTTCTCTTTGATATATTTTAATCCATATTTTGCGTGTTTAAATGCCACGATAACATCAACGCTGAAATATATTATAATTGCAAATTGACGCTATGCCAAAAGCAAAAGACACTCTTTCTTTTCAATCAAAATTGTCTCGTAATAGACAATACACTGGCTTCTCAGCTCGATGGATGGTTTTGAAAACCGAAACAAAACACACAAAAAGACAGTCAATATTATTTAAGATGCGCTTAATGCGCACTGTAAATTTATCACTGACGTGTGAATCGCTTCATATTTCTATATTGTTTGCCTGTGCACAAAAACCGATTTTATTGCATTAAAATATTTGCATAAAAACCATTTCGACGTTGCGGTTTGCTTGGTTGGTTGCTTCATGGAATCGACGTGTGTCAACAGTTGAATTACAAGCCGTGTCATGTTTGCGATAAAAGAGATGCCTTTTGGTTGCAACATCTTTTTTTTGTATCTCTGCATTTTCTTCTCATCGTCACGAATGGAACGATGATGATACTCCATGGATGAGCATGTTTATGAAGTAAAATCAATTTTTCAAAACGAATTCCAATGATTGGCATATTCAAAGTGATATAATGAAATCTTTGTCATTTTTTTAGTCTTTTGTTTAATATTTTAATCATCATATTTGGGTTTTACGCGCCTAATAAAATAATTTTTGTTTGCTATAACTCCTTCTTCTTGTCGAATTTGGCACGAGCATAACGATGCCTTTGATGAAGGAGAAAAAGGCTTATTTGTCATTATTATTATCGTCGTCGTCGTCGTCGTCATATCATCAACGAAAAGAATGGATTTATCAAAGGCGGTCTTCTAAAAATAAATTGGAACAACGCCGTGTGAAACCGGTCGAATTTACGCCGCCGCAATTAATGATTAAATTAATAATTTTTTTTCTTCATCTTCTTCATAGTTTGGTTCAATTGCACTCCTTTCCGTATTCGGTCACAGTGTGCGTGGAACAAAAAAGCGCAATGGCAATACAATTAACTAAATGCAATTATATACCTGTGTGTGGATTACAAAACACATTTATTTTCCGCAAATTGAGAATCAATCGGAACGATGAGACGCTGTAGATCGATCGTACAACAAACACATCATATAACCAAATCAACTTCAAAGGAAGAGAAACGCATAAAATAGCTGCGTAAAATTCAATTTCAATTTTCTGATAATGATCTACATCTGCATGTATACAGTTTTCAGATCAGATATGCTTGCCGCGTCATTTTCCATTAAAAATTTGAAGCGATTCAACTGGTTGCAACTTGAAAATCATACAATTTTTTTTTCGCTTTTATACTTTGTTCGCAAGGACAAAAAAAAACAACAACATAAAATAAACCAAATTTGACACTTGAAAGAGTCGCCGATGTTTTTTTTTCTGTAGTTTTCGCGTTTAAAGAGAATTTTGTTTGAGCTTCAACTCCAGAGCCGCATTTATGATGTTACAGGATTTGAACATCACTATTATAAAATCATTGTCAGAAACGAAATAATACTCGGCATCTGAATCAGTTCGAATTAGATACATTTTTTTTAATTATATATTTCTTTGAAATGTTTATTGTCCGGGTAAACGATATGAACAAAAAAAAAATAACGAAATTGAAAATTTAAACAAAATTTAAAAAATGTGTATTGTATTAAAGCAAAACGAGAACGGGAGTTAAGGAGGAAGAACGAACAAACTGAAATAAAACCACATCAATAGCCACCACACATAATTCAGGATTATTAAATAAAATCAAAACAAATATTCACTGTTTTCGTTAAATTTTCTTTTTGATTCAAATAAGGATCGCAATAACTCTGCATTTTAAACATTTAAAATATAATTTTTTTTTGTATCAAACAATATTTTAAGCTATAAAATATGCATCTATTCGTTTTCTTTCACAATCATTTATCGATTTTTTTTTTTTCAAGTTAAAAATATTAAAAAAAACGAATAATATAAAAATTGTGTCGCCTTTTTTTCGTTTCAAATGCACACATACTTTTCGTTTGATTTAGATTTGATTGAGTAAACAAGTGTTAACTGCCTGAATGTGACTTGAATCTCGTTCAAAAACGATATTCGTTAAAACAAAAATCCGAGACCACTCGCAAGCACAGCATTCGTTAAACTGAATCCTCACCGAATAATGATTGTTTTCGTAACCGAAAAATCAAATGCACGCGCGTTTACTGGATAACAAGTAAGATATCTGTGCTGCGTTGTGTCGTTGTTGTTGGTGCTGCTGTTGTTGTTGTTGTCGTTTCGTCTGTCCCACTCTGAGACTATTTTGCTTTGGGTTAGAGAGCGCGCGCGATTCTTGCACACACATCAGTATGACTCTCCGTCTCTCGGATAAAATGTGCTTTTTGATGTTTCTCTTTCTCTCTCTCTCTCTCTCTCTCATTCTCTCTCTCTGTGTCTCCCTCTTTCCCTCGCTCTAAGCAGCTCAAAAATGTACGCACTTTTCATGGTGTATGCGTGGATAAAGAGTCGAAAAGTTGTCAATAGTTGAACATTGAACACACACGTATACATATGGAGGCGCGCGCGTTTGAAATGTTTCATTCTAGGCGAAAAATGGTTTTTGTTCTTCTCTTGCAACCGCGATTCCCGGCTTGTTTGTTGTGTTTTCGTTTGCTTTCGACTGGGTTAAAATAGCTTAGTTCGGCCGCTCACAATATGCTTGCACATTTCGCTTTTTTTTTTACTTGAACGGTCACGAACTAAATACACAAAAGCAAAATGTAATGTGTTTTGAGCGTATAAAATATTTATAAAGCCACAGAGCTCTATATCTCTCGAGAAAAAACAAACCAAGAGACCGGGACAGAGAGAGAGATAGAGAGCATGACAAAGTTATTGCCGAACAAAAAACCCTTTCTGCATTTCGATAAAATGTTTGGTTTTTCTCGCTCACTCGCATTCCGCACACACTGAACACGGCGTGAAAAGGTAGTACGGGAGCAACAAAGAGAAAAATTTGCTGGTAAATCATTCTAGAATGTGTAAGCAGTGGCACAGCAATATCGAACACCAAGATAGATTGTACGACACACCATATTGGCGGTTATCAGTCGATAGTTTCAGCGGTGCCGGTGTGCATCTTATAGAAATTTGATAGGATGTTTTGAATCTACGTGCAAAATGATGATGGCTACTATAACACCACTATCACGCCGACCTGATTCTCAATGTCAAATCGTAGACAGACATTCACATGTTAAGCATGATATAAGTATGCGCTTGAAAAAAACATCTATATACCAGTGAGATTATGCGTTTGTTATTATTTTTGTATGTATAATTTCAAGTGCTAGAATTTTGTCTTAACGTATTCAAGTGTTTTTGTTGGCCAATGCATTGCGCTGCATTGTATGCACTTTTGAAACTTCGTATGAAATCATATCTCGCTTGAGTTGAGCAAGAAATGCGCGATTGCATTATGCAAAGAATGCAAAACATTTCAACGAATGAAGAGAATTCAAGGAAGCAAACTGTTGCTAAATTCTCTTTTAAGATTTTCGCCATTTTCCGACTTTTTTTAGGTGTTGATTTAATTTGAAGCTACACCGACCAACCTACCGATAAAAACCGCGGACCGCGTACGAACGCGTGCGCGCGCGTGTGTGTGTATATGTGTGTGTTTTTAAACAACTGCAAAGAACAAAACCAACCACGCACCCATTGAAAATGACCAACAGAAGGAGAAGATCGTTAATTTGAAATCGATGTGCGTATTTGCTGCGTGTGCTGAACACAATGCATCACATCAATACGAACGCAAAGCTTATATTAGCGGCATTCATCGTTTGATCAGCAAACCATGTTATTATTTTATTTCCGTTCCTCTGCTCTTTCATTCTGGTTGCCCGTTTAGCGAAATCACGTTCCTCGATCATTTCGCTTAAATATTTCGATATTCACCAGTTCGTTTTGTTCCTCTTTCTTCCGTTGTTCTTTCTCTGTCTTTCTTCGGTTTGTACATCGGTCCGCAAAACAAGCTTAACTTTTTTGTGGTTATTTTACTCATTTCACCATGTAGTAAAGAGCAAAAAAGAAACACAAACCATATTCGAATGGTTCACTGCTGTTGGCTGCTTGCATATAACCATACTATCTTTTGCTTTCATTATTGCTGTTTCTCTTTCATTGTTTTTAATCGGCACAGACCGGCCACAACACATTTAAAACGTCGACGATGATGCATTCATTGATGTCCAATCATTTTATGATCACTTGCGCACATTTGTATCTTGTGTGTGTCTGTTAGTGTGCAGCAAAAGCCTCGAGGGGAAGATAATACTTCTACCGGTGTGTCAAAGATGCTACTGATGCTGCGGCTCTAGAAAAGATGAACAACAAAACCAAAAATGAACGTGCGCTGAAGACACAGGACACAAGGTTGTGAGAAACAAATGGGCGCATCACACTCACAATCGCCTAAAGAAGTGCAAAAAGCAACAGAATTATAAAAACACTAACAAATTCACAATCCGAACGAAGACAGAAAGGAGACACACAGAGAGAGCGAAACGATAGCGTGATACAGTAATATTTTAGTTTTTTTTTATTACATTTAATTGGAAGCTGTAGCGGCGTCTTTTTTTGATATAGTTAAAGGAAATCACACACACACACACATGTTGGTCATCAAAGTGTGGCGCATTAAATGAACGTGTACACTTTACTCAAAAGCGCGCGTATTGATTTTATCAATCATGTATTTCATATGTTGATTCGTTGTAATTGCTGTAAATACAAATAATGTTTGATCGTTTTTGTTTTCAATTATCAGCACAAGCACTTCTACTGCCACGAACAGAAAAACAATCAAAGGCTCAGACCAACTGGTCAGTTGCTGCCATCAACAGTTACTGTTATGTAACTAACATTACTCCGACCACATCCGCACGTGTATTTACAAAATCAACATTAAACTTTAAAATAAAAAAAACTGTTCAAGAACTAAGGGTTACCATGCCAAAAAGAGAAAGAAATATAAATGAAATTAAAAATCAAGTTTTACTATATACAGTATAAATACAATGATTTTTATTTATTTCGATCGAAATGTATATTAATAAAAATCAAACAATTTGTTAATTTTGGTCCAAAACTAGATAACTGGCATCATTACATTGTTTAAAGGTTGAAAAAACGACCCGACCCCGACCATATCAAAAATACATTTTTTTGCTCATTTTTTTGACTTTCAAATGAAAAAAAGTGTATAAAGCAGATTATTTTGGAATGGTATGCACCATCATTTCTAGGGTAATTTTTTTGCGCTGAATCCGAATGTGGCATTGAAAATACTCAAAAAATAATTATGAACCAAAAAGTCGCAAAAAAATCATTATTTTTTGCAAACATTTAATGAAATTTTGATTTTTCGTCGGCGGTCACTCATTTTTAAGGCTTGATTCGGATTTAGCGCCCCAATTTACCGCGAAATTTTTATATATTTTGACAGTCATTATGGTATGAATAGTCATTTTTAAGGTCAATTTGGGCGCTGAATCCGAATCAAGCCTTAAAATTAAGGAACCGCCGACGAAAAATTAAAATGTCATAAATTTTTTGCAAAAAATTGATTAAAAAGTGCGAGTTTTTTTTGTTAATAATCATTTTATTAAGCAATTTCAATACCAGATTCGGATTCAGCGCAAAAAATTACTCTAGAAATGATTATGCATACGATTCCAAAATAATCTGCTTTATACACTTTTTTTCATTTGAAAGTCAAAAAAACGAGCAAAATAAGGTATTTTTGATATGGTTGGGGTCGGGTCATTTTTTCAACCTTTAAACAATGTAATGATTCCAGTTACCTAGTTTTGGACCCAAATTAACAAAACCGGTCGGGGAACAACAATTCGTTCAGATAGTGAGATTTGGGCCACCCTAGTGTAAATATGTTTCAAGTAGCATGGATCGACGGCATCATCACAATTACCACTTGGCGGTTCATCGGGAAGAATGCCATTTTCGTCAGGTGCAACTTCGTACAGGGATGGGATTGTGTCA